GCTGGGAATCAAACCTGGGACCTCTTAAGAACAGCATATGCTTTTATCCACTGAGCTGTCACTCCAGTTGCCTCCTGGATATTTCTTTCCAGAGCTTTCGGAGTTGTTTCTTCCAAGCCCGACGTAAAGTAGCTTTTAAACCACAGGTCTTTATCGAGCTTTCCTAAAAAGCAAAATTGCTTCCCTTTGTGCTCATGTTTCACCAGCTTATGGGACGGCTAATTCAATTGCCTCTTTACAAAGCCCAGTGTGGCTGGTGCAGACCAGTTTGGAAACAAACCCGACGAACTCTTGGCAAGCATGTAATTTGATGGCAGGAAGCCAGAGGGGACAAGGGTGCCAGAGAATGGCCTGCTGGCCACTCAGCAGGCGTGTGGCTGGAGTGTCCCATTCAAACTGCCTGGAGAGTGCCGGTTAGCCCGGTGAGCTGTTTAAACAGACTACTAACGAGAATTTTGTTGTCACCCTAATGCTAACAAAGACTCCATAGTGTGGTGTTGACTCTGGAAGACACCTGCCCAGCAAGGCAGTTCATCTGCCAGCCTGTCTTACAGCCCCAAGTGATTATGGGATGAGCATCACTGACGGAGTGCAAGTTAGAGTGTAGGTTCCAGGCATGACCTCTAGAGAACAGGGGAACTTCTCCATCCCTGGGAAATGGTGGGTCACCATGTAAGTGGCCAGGAGCATCACTTGAAGGGAAGCTGCCATCCCTTCAGAATGCTTGCTGGGTTTATTAAGGCAGCGAGCATCACCCTATGAACACACCAGGTAAGTTGTGTGACAGTCAAATTAGATGATACATACACAACAGACTTCTGAGTGGGACTTCCTAATAGCTCAGGTTCCTAGATGAAGTCTGACTTACAGCTGAGGTCAAACACAAGGTACCAAGAACCTTATGTTCCTGAAAGCTCCAAGACTCACCTGCAGGCCCTTCTTAGAAACATCCTACTGGTTTCCTCCTCTTGGTCTAGTTCCCTCAGCGTATGTAGTGAAGTCAAAGGCAAGTTTCTAGAGTGAGGGAACAGGTTTAGGTCCCGGGCCTGCGATGTACCAACTGCGAGACCCCTGGTAAAATCGTGCCAGCTCTCCGGATGGCATTAAGTGATAATATCTGTCTCTTCGTTGCCTTATAATTCCCCCAAAAGTCATGGCTGCGTGTTCTATTCCACCCTCCCTCTGCTCCTACTGTCTTTCTCTCCCTGACTTCTGAACCTGTCAATCACTAGTTACATGGGTCTGTTCTTTATCTAGTTGGAAGCCAGAGGAGTTTGCCTCAGAAAAGTGAGACCAAGAGTCACAAGGACTATCCAGAGCCATCCTGGTCAGAGCAGGCAGCCTGGGGAAAGGCCTAGAGGGGAGAATCTGGACAAGAGGGGACGCCACACCCATGGGGGTGCTCGGCACAGAAGATATGGAAGACACAAAAGGCCTGGGAGTTATAGGAATCTGGTCCAATCAGATGCAGGTTTATCTCAGGGTCCCAGAGGGCTTTAAGCAGAGTGACTTAGCCATGATTGTGCTTACAGAGGTATTCCTGGATGTTCAGTGTGACCAATGGGAGAAGGCTTTCACAGTGGGGTCAGACAAGGTACCCTGACTCAGGGCCTGGTGATTAAATAACACATTCAGCACAAATAAAAAAAACAACAAAATACCCTCCCCCAGAAGGGGAGGGGGAAACTAGCTACCTCTGTCACCACCTCACGTTGAAGCTTGGGACACCATCTCCAAATAGGCTGCACTTTTGCAACTGGGCGATAGGGGGCGGCAGTGACTTCTAGTTCCAGGACTTCATCAGCTGGCAGCCTCTCCACTCTTCATGCTTACAAATATCACTAGGGGGCAGCACCATGTTACTGGTTCCTCTACCAAAGCCCGTTTGAAACCACTAATAATACACAGATTTTTAGCAAAGTGTGGAGGGAACAGGAGACTAAGGAAATGCACAATCCTGCTCAGACCAGATGCAGGTGGAGGGGAAGGCTGTTCTTGAACAGTTGACAAATGACCACATGAGCTCTGGATAGTTAATAGTTTAGTTAAAGTTAAGAAAGAAAAAAAGAAAGAGGGAGGGAGGGAGGGGGGGAAGGGAGGGAGAGAGGGGGGAGGAAGGGAGGGAGAGAGGGGGGGGAGGAGGAAAAAGACAAATTGGGAGGAAGGGAGAGGGGAGAGAAGAGGTAGATTAAAAACGAGAAGAGAAAAGATAGAGGGGAAGGATAAGAGAAAAGGAGAGGAGAGAGATGGGTGGGGGATAGAGCGCACAGGCTGTGGGTCCAGCTGGTTCCGAGCCTCCCAGCCCTGATTGCAGCTGAATTTTACTTCACCAGCTTTAGCGTCCCCTCTGCAGAGCAGGAGCTCCGTCAAGTATCTCCCAGGTCGTAAGGTCACGGACAGGGGCACCAGGACACAGCACATGCTCTCTAGACAATGACACCATCCTGGTGCCAACCTCAGGGTAAGGTCTGGAGAGCCAGATTCTCTAGAGTTATTGCCAATTAAGACAGGGAGGGGGCTGGGCATCTTGTCAGGCCAGGGTGCTCTCTCTGCCTTCCCTTCCGCTAAGGGAAGGCCCCACCTTCTTTATCTCCCTCAGCATGCAGGAAGATGGAGTGCCCCAGTCCACAGAGTCTGGCTCCATGCTGGGAGCTTCAGCCATAGGGACAGAGAAGGAGTCTCCAGAGAGCAATGGGTTAATAGCACGCAGTTCCCCTGCTGCTCCAACCCAGCACTAAGCAAGGGAGTGCAGACATTTTCCTGGGGTTCAGCCAGCCAGGTCCAGGAAGCTCAGCTAGGAAAGCCTGCTGGAGGAAGGTCAGAAGATCATTCATCTCTGAGCCCAGTGCCATCTCTTCGCACACAGGGAGGGCTCCTGGCTCTGCCTCCATCATTCTGACCACACAGAATCACAAAGGCTGCCCTTCCCCTCCCTGTTTGGTGAGGGGGCCTTCTCCTCTTGCCTTCAAGCCAGCTTTGGGCTTGGCAACCTTGTCCTGCCAGCGGAGGCTGCTTTCACTTCCAGGTGTGGTGCTGAACCTGATTCTCTTCCCAGCTTCTCAGACAGACTCGGTACCTATACTGAATGTTCTTCTTTTTTTATTCTGTTGAGTGGGACACGTCAGTCGTTAAAGAGTGTGTGGCTTTGAATGTGTGATGCTCAGGAACAGGCAAAACTCACTCCTGTGGAGATGGAGATCAGGTAGAACAGGCTCGTCAGGTCACGAGAGGGGGCAGCAGGAAGAGCAGGACTGTTCTGAGGTGATGGGAACATTTAATATCTGGATGGAGGTGTTGGTTGCAGGGTGCACAGTTGTGAAGGCTCAACAGGTTTGTGGTTTGTGCATTTAACTGCATGAATTACATTCATCTCAACAAAATTTTATAGGGAAAAAAATCACTGTTTAAGAACAAAGACTATTATTGTTGTTTAGCTTTTAGTTTTTGAACAGGATCTCACTGGGTAGCTCTGGCTGGCCTGGAACCCAGTATGTAGACTAGGCTGGCCTCAAACCCACAGAGATCCATCTACCTGCCTCTTCCTTGGAGTTCTGGGATTAGAGGCATGTGCCACCACATTGACCAGAGACTTCTCTGACTGTCTAGCTAGACCTTGATGATAGCACCAGTTTAAAAAGTATTTGTTGCTGGGTGTGGTGACTCATGCCTTTAGTCCCAGTACTCAGGAGGCAGAGGCAGGTGGATCTCTGAGTTTGAGACCAGCCTGGTCTACAAGGCAAGTTCCAGAACAGCCAAGGCTGTTACACAGAGAAACCCTGTCTTGAAAAAAAAATATTTGTCGTTTGTGGTATTCATGTATGTGTCTGTGTGTGTTGTATGTGTGTGCATGTGCACTTGTGTGTCTATGAATGTGTGCATGTGTAGAACCTCAGTCATTTTTCCCTGGGAGCTGTCCACTGTTTTTTGAGACAGGATCTCTCATTGGCCTGGAACTTACTAAGTAAGCTATGCTGACTGGCCTTTGAGCCCCAGGGATCCTCCTGCCTCCGACTCCCCAGTACAGGTATCATGAGTGAGCCCCACCAATACCTGGCTTTTGTATGTAAGTTCCAGGGATTCATCCTGGGTTCTCACGCTTTCCCAACAAACACTTTACCAACGAGGCTGTCTCCCCAGCCCGCACTTCTCTTTTCAAAAGAAACACAAAGTGGACCACGGGAGAGGATGTAAAGTTTATATTTAGGTGGGGGTTTGTTTCTGTTTTTGTTTTTATTTTGACAGGAAAACACAGGACACCAAACAAAATTCCGCATGTGGCTTGGCTTTTTATTCCAGGCTGGCCCTATCCTCCAAAGGACACTCCACTTTCCCTCATCTTCCTCATGATGAAGAGGCCTGGCCTGCTGGAGTATGGAGCTGTGAACTTCATGCTTTTTGAGTGCTTAGGAAATCTGCATTCTTACAAATACAGAGTAAAGTTCACGGATCTTGCTGACGCTCCTCGGGACAGTATGACTTCATCTCTTCACGTTCACAGAGAATTCTGCCACTGAACTCCTCCCAGACAGGTAAGGTGTTCTCAGACCAGGGGAGCCAGACTCACTAGCCCACCCATAATCTTGCCTTTGGGAACAAGTGCACAGAAGTCCAAGAAGGGAATTGGGAGTTTCAGGCAATCTGCTTCCTGGTGTCCCTTCACCCCTATTGTCCCCGGCATGGTGGTGAGTTAAAGACTTAACTTTCAAGATCCTTTCTGTGGTCTTTTTCTGTATGGTGAAGTTGGAGAGAAAGCTGTCCCGTGTGCATATTTGATAAGGAACTAGCCAGGAGAGCCCAGAAGCCTGGGTCAGAATCCCAGGCTGTGTTAGAGTAATGGAGTCGGTCATTTGTTCCACCTACCTCAGACAGAACAGGCAACCCTCAGTGGCCCTGGACGAGGAACCTAACCAGGACAGTTAACTGCAGCCAAGAGTATGGAAAGGGGCATCTACCATCAGTCCAGGGCCAGGTCCTAAGGACACCTGCTGAGAATGGCAGGCTCTGTATCTCCATCTCCAGCTGGCTCTAGAAGGCACTGTTCCATGAGCTGCGACTCCCGGCGGCCAGGCAGGGTCTGGACAAACACAGGCGGCGCTGGATCTCTAGCTGGCAGAATCGGTTCTGGTTGGATACGCGGGTGGCTATCCCCAGCCCACAGGTGGTTGAGCAGGGGCTCCAGGCTGTGCTCCATGTGGGACAGGCGACATCAGCAGATGCAGGAGTGACGAGCCCAGAAAGTTGGTGTCCTGGGGGTTAGAAAGAAGAGGGTGAACATGGAAAAGTCAGGACTCCACAGACAAGTCTGCTCCCCTGCTAGCCCTCACAGGGACCCTGGTGAGACTTAGCCTTAGTTTCTTCCTAAACTTCCCGACATTGGGGATTAAATTAAGCAATGGCTGGGGAATCTAAGCACAGTGCACCCCGCAGACATCCATCACAAGACAACTAAAAACTGCCATCTTCCTTTTTTCTCACCTTCCTACCCTCTAATACAGGGCATCATACAGGCACACGCCTGGTGGCAAGAACGGCCCAGATAACAGGCTGGCCATGACCTGGCTCTACCTTCCCCATCCACTTCCGATGTCTGATGTTCTTCCTTCTAGCCCCGAGGAGCAAGAGCACATCTGGCAAACTCTAGAGAGATTTCTCAGTTGTCATGGTCAGTGTATACAAGGGATATTTTGTTGTTGTTGTTGTTTGTTTGTTTGTTTTGGTGGGGGGGGGTACTGCTGACATCTAGAGTGTGGAGGCCAAGTTATCTTTCTGCATCCCACAATTTCCCCAACAACCCCAAACCACGAGAAACTCATCCCAGACGTCACTGGCGCTGATGATGAAAACCCTGCTTTGAATGCACAGGTGTCATGTTTATGTGTCAGAGAAGTGGGCGTTGGATCAAGGACTGCTCAAGGGTGCTGAGATGTGAGGGTGCTGGCACCCCTGTACAAATGGTGCAGTGTTTGCACAGAACCCACAGACACACCTAGAAACACAGGTCACGTCCAGGTCACTAAGGCTAGCTAAAATGGGGAAACGTTACTGAAGAGTTGTGAAACCACCTTTGCTAAGGAAGAGCCTCATGCATAAAATAGTCTGCATGTGCTCAGTATGAACCCAATGACAAAACTATCCTTGATGAGCAGCTGGCTGAATCCACGGATATAGAGGACCAACTGCTAGTATGTTCATGGCCCTATGCATGTACACACAGTGGAAGTCAGGTGGCAGGTAGAGCTTTTATCTCGACTTTTACTATGTAAGTGAAGGGCTGGCAGCATGGCCCAGTGGTAGAGCATTTGCCTGGTGTGTACAAGGCTCTGGGTTCAATTCCAAGTACTATGGGGGTGTGGAATACATATTGTGAGCTGGACGACTTTCTCTCATGTGCCTAACTCGATGTGTCTTATCCCTGACAGGGATGATGGTGGCCAGGGCACTTATGCAGGCTTAGTGTCAGGCATCTTTACAACCTGTTTACTTGTCCTAGTTCAGTTTGTCCTCACCACAGTCCTGAAAGGTGGGGGTTCTTATTAGTTTCACTTTCCAGTTGGAGAAACTGAGGCAGGGAACGTCAACAACTTTCTCAGAGTCACGCAGCAAGCAAGGCCAGAGATCAGTATGGAAATGTAGCGTCCATGTATTTAACCCACCCCGTCTCCTGCCTTTCGCATGTGGTGGCATCCACAGAACCAGTCCTTACTTCCTGGGCACCTTCCCAGGGCAAATTCATATGATAACCATAATGCTTTTAAAGAAACAGGGCAACAAAATCCCAGAGTTGAGGAGTTGGTCGAAGAATGTAGCTGTCTTGTCTGTATCTCTGCCCAGCCCTGGGCTGTGTCCCAAACTCCAGTCCTGCCTGGTTCAGTTTTTGTCGAATCGTTTACTAAATCCAAATCATCATGTATTCATAGTATTATAAATTGTTCACATGTATTAAGTATCATAAATATATGTTCTATACGTATACCTATATTTTGTCATATTATATTAGTCTATACTATATCTATTATCTGTGCTATTTTATTTATACCACTGCTGTGAGATGCACAAATTTGGCTCAAGGGCTAACATTCCCTCCTCTCCACTCTGTCACCTAAACAAGAACTCTTTGTTTTTAAAGATTTATTTTTATTCTACCCGTGTACATTTTTCCTCCTACACATATGTGCACCTTGTGCATGCCTGGTGTCCCCCGTGGTCAGAAGAGGGCATCAGATCCCCTGGACCTAGACTTACGGAAGGTTATGTGTCACCATATGGATGCTAGGGACTGAATCTGGGTCCTTTACAAGAACAAGTGCTCTTAAATACAAAATCATAGCTCAAGTCCCTCAAACTTTATTTTAAATGACTTTATTAGTTGAAATCATATCTCTTAAGTGGTTGCCTCTTATTCTGTCAGTTTCCAGGAGACTGTTGTAGCATCCCAACGCTCGTCCTCAACCCCAGCAGCTGAGGCCTTGGTGGCCGGGGCCCACCTTACACTCACTCACCTTGGGCCGTGTAAGACTGGATCCTTGGCCTGGCTCCCTGGTCGCACACCCACTCAGGACAGCACCTGCCAGGCACCTCTACTCTCCTAGGGCGTGGGCAGTCCCAGCTGGGCAGTCTCACATTCTCGCTGCACAGCGGCAGGCAGGTGAAGCCACCGTCGTCACAGCGGCAGAGGACCCTGCAATTGGGCTGAAAGGTCTCCCCATCCAGGTACCTGCGGCCGTTCACCTCACAGCTTCCATCATCCTCTTCCACTGTGGAGGGAGGAGAAAGCAGAGCAGCTCTGGGGCCTGAGACCAGAGTGCCAGACACCCTGTCTCTTCACCGACCCCTCCCCGACAGGCCTGCCGGAGAGGCGGCAAGGAGCCTGGCTTGGACCCCATGGACCAAGTAATTTCACTTCTTGCACCAGTTTACATGAAAAAGATTATACATTGGCTCTTATTTCAGAGTGTGTCATAGACTAAATGAAATCATGATTATAATTAATCTGACAAAATGAAGCCTGGGTAAAGGGGTGTGGCTCAGTGGGTGGGTGCAGTGCCTGCCTGGCTGCTCATGGCTCTGAACTCAACCTCTAGCAATGAATGAACTCAGTGTGGTGGCATGCTTAGTGGCACTCCTGTAATCCTAGCACTCGGGGGGGGGTGGTGGTGGTGGTGGTGGCAAGGATTCAGAAGTTCAAGGCCAGCCTGGGCTGGAGACCCTGTGAAATTAGTGATATTTAGTAGTTAGCCATAAAGCACACTGGGCCTGGGGCTTCAGGTAGCATCGCGTCTGTCCTCTTCCTATGTGGGGTCATCACTGTCTGCCAAGGCTTAACTCGCTGGCCATGGGGCTCAGTAGTTGCTACCTAAATCCTCCGAGTGGCCGGCCCCATCACCACCTGCCTGGAGAGCTGGAGCCCAGAGTACTCCTCTTCCCATACCCATATTTCTTCTTAGAGGATGATTGTATCAGACCCTGTCCCCACTGCCTCCAGATCACTGCCTTGGATACAAAGATTGGACCTTCTGGCCTGGGCCATGTTGCCAATGGTTTCCTAGGAACTGCTCAGGTAGCTGTGTCTTGCTCCCTACCTGGTCTTGCTACTTCTGGGCTCACTCTAACACATACACACACACACACACACACACACACACACACACATCCATCACACACATGCGTACACACACGTCCATCACACATGCACACACCACCTGACCTCTGCTGCTTTGCTTTGGGTCCCGAGTTGCCAGGACGACCTGGTAAACAGAGGCGCATTTAGGAACGTCAACTGGAGGATGATAATTTTAGCAAGCATTCCTGGCACCTTGGAGGTCATCAGCGGTGAGCTGGCTGGGTGTGGCCAAGTGGGGCTGGGCAGCCAACCCCTCAGCAGGGTAGATGCACTGTGAGAGGCGCCTTGAGATTGCAAACCCCATGAACCATCTCAGGATTCCCCTACCCACACATGACAGCAGTCTTCACTTGAGGTCCCCAGACTCCCCTGAGCACAAGCCATAGACTTGCCATCTGGGGGCTCTCAATGTCCCTTCTCCCCTCTGGAAGTCATCACAGAGTTACTGTTTTTCCCCTTCCACCGCTTGCAAGCTGTGCGACCTGTGTAAGTGGCATGAGCCTCTCTGAGCTGAGCTCCCTCGCCTGCAAAACGGGCACATTAGGCTCTTTCCTCAGTGTTAAGGATAAGGTAAAACCAGCTTTTAAAGCATTTTCCCACAGGATTGACTCAAGGAAAGGGCTCCTGTTACTGCCCGCCCCACTAGAACCTCTGCCGTCAGCCACGTGATGCCACAAATATTTGCTGAGCACCTACAGTGGCCTAGGCCATGTGCCAAGCAGTTGTAATTCAGGCTATGTGGGCAAATGGACAAACATCCTCCCCTCTGGAGCACTCCAGTGAAAACAAACACAGCCAATGAGGTTGGGCCGGCTGGTGATGGGGCCGGGAGAAAGTAAGGGACTAGAGAGGAATTGCAGTATCTTAACTAGGTGGTGCTAGGGCCTCGTGGATGACGTAGCGTGTGAGTAGGGTGTGAAGGCAGAGAGGGAGCTTTCCATGTGTGTATCAGGGAACGGATGAGGGTAGAGGAACGGCCAAGGTGAAGGCCCTGAGGTGGAGAGCACCACTTGGGTGTTCAAGGCCAGTGTGGCTGGAGCCCAGAAGAGGAGCAAGAAAGGGAGCAGATGAGGTCATTTTTGTCCAAGTGTGAAACACACTTAGATGAAATAGATAAATCATAAAAATCTAACCCTTCTCTGTTTCTCTAAAGTTCTTCAGCCCAAGGTGCAATTTTGCTCTTTGGTGACCTTGGCAAGATCACCACTGGTAGCTGATTCTGGCATCTCATAGGTCCAGAGGGTGCTGCTAACTGTCAGGCCACAGAGAGTCTCCCCTCAACATTGGCCCTGCCCCAAAGTGTCAGAGGACACCCAGGCCTGAGACCTGTGAGGAATGTCACACATCCAATACCACTAGGAAACAGCACTGGGGTTTGCACCGCAGCCCAGTAGGGAATGGAGGGAATGCTTGAAGATGGGACAGGCTGGAGGGCATAGAGCAGGCTAGCTGACCTCTCTGAGCCTCAATTTCCCTGTGTGTAGAACTGGTGCAATGGGACTATGGGGCACGAACAGTGAGTAACCAGCCTTGTGGGGGCACACACCATTCCCCATTGGAGGCTCTGCTCTTGCTCCCCACAGGGCTGTGATTGGCCTTGGGGTAGCAATTGGTCCAGCTTTGGAACTGGCTGTGATTTGGATGGGTGTGGATTGAAATCACCAGGGAAGTCCCAGCAGAGGGCAAGAGGGAAGAAACAGGGAGTGGGCCCAGGAGGCCTTGGGTCACCAGCTGAGCTGAATGAACACAGAGCCTAAAGCGAGGTCAGAGAGACACAGAGAGCCGAGCTCCACTTGGCTCTGAACCCTTGGCCTTGACAACCCCCACCCCCACCATTAGTCTAGAAAACCTGCTTACAGAGGCACAGGGCCTCCCGGCCACTGGGGCCTGCCCCAGGCTGACAAACCAGGCCCTGGCTGGGGTCGCAGACATGCAGATGGTCACAGGACTCCCCCAGCCGCCGTGCACACACTCGACAGCAGCCACAGTCATCCAGCACCAGGGGCACCCCCGGCGGGCACTGGGGTGGTGTCCAGGGACAAGTACAGGATGCTGGGCACAGCTGGGCACACACCTGAGGAGACAGAGACCTCACTTAGCTTTGACTATCAAGGCAGGTATTGAGACGTTCACAACCCGTCACTTTGTGGCCAAATCAGACAGCATGGGATCCATAGCTTGGCCTTGGGGTCACACAGAACCAGCCTTGAACCAGGGCCATCTGAGGGTGTTCCTAAGAGGAAGCATGACACTGTGCTCTGGAGCGAGGACCCCAGGCCAGAGTTTCAGTTCTAGGCTCTGCCATGTTGGTGGAGTTCCCTGAGAGTTCCTTGAGTTCTCCAAACCTGGCTTTCCTCACATGTAAAAGAAAGCAGGGATGATGTCACTAACCCCTGAGCATGGGTAGGTCAGCCATATTTTTTTTGCGGGAGGGGGGACACATGTATGTGTGGTGTGCACATGTATGTGTGTAAATGTGAAGAGATCACCACCCCACGGCTGCCTCTGTCCTTATCATTACCCAGCTCCCCCCCACTCTCTCTCTCTATTTTTAGACAAGGTCTCTCACTGTGCCTGATGATCACCAATTGGCTAGGTTGCCAAGTGAACCCTGAGGACCTGTCCATCTCTGCACCATCAGCACTGGGGGTACAGGTGTGCCCCACTGTGCCTGGCTGTTACGTGCGGGTGCTAGGGATCGATCTCGGGTCCTCACGCTTGCATGGCAAGCCATTCACCCACCCACTGAGCCGTCTCCCCAGCCTCCTGAGTGTGGTTGATGCTGGTGGTCATCTTTGCTCGTCACAATGGAGGCTAACCTAGGAACTCACCTGAAGGCAAGAGCGAGAGCCTGAGGAGTGAGAAGGGAAGCCAAGACTTCCTGGGTGAGTGCTTACCCTCAGGGCGAAGAAACCACACAGAACGTGGAATTTCCTGGTCTCGGCACAGCCCAACACGTTTCCCAGCCCTGAGTGCATGTCAGATCAGCCAGGAAAGGGAAAATGCATATTCCCAGGCCACCAGGACTCAACTAGAAGTCACAGAGGCAGGATCTGCACTCTACTTAATAAGCTATCTAGAAGTTTCTAGCTTCAGCTAGATTCACAGACTCTCTGGCACAACCCAGCCCAACTCCCCACCCCCACACCTCCATTGCATCCCCACTCCCCACCTCCCTGCACAGATGGGGAAATTGACTCCAAAGGGGAAAAAGTGTTTGCCCATAGCTAGATCTGGAAGCTGTGCCAAGACCACCTCCCTGATGTGGACTCGTGGCCCCAGACTGTAGCATGATTAAAAAACCCAGAGACAGAAATTGGGGTTCAACCTGAAGGTCAGAAAAGCAAAGCAGACAGCCACAGACTCTTACCTTGACCTCAGTCCGAAAATGTCGATCCAGCCTCCAGGAATCTCGGAATGAGACTGTGAGTGAGAGCTGTCTCCTCCTGTTTTATATTCCTCTCTAGTGCTGGGATTAAAAGCATGCACCACTACCGTCCGATTTCTATGGCAAACTAGCATAGCTACTGAGATTAAAGGTGTGTGCCACTGCTGCCTAGTCTGTATGGCTGATCAGTGTGGCTGTTTTACTCTCTGATCTTCAGGCAAGCTTTATTTACTAAAATACAAATGAAATATCACTACACCAGAGAAGCAGACTTCTCCTGGAACAGGCAAAATCCTAACCAGGGGCTCAATACCCATCCATTGCAGGGCCAAGACTTCCCCCAAAGACACAACTGTGCCTCCCACCCAGGACAAAAATACCTAGATGAAGTGTCAGATGCCATGGGCTTCCTAGAGGGTGAGGACCACGAGGGAGGTACCACTCAAGATGCTCCTGACTGTCTGCCCCAGCGGTGGAGGTCACTCACTCTTTAGCAGAGTAGATGGTCTTATGTGGAGGATTTGTGATTTAGGAAGAGAAAACTAAAGACCCCAAACCTCCTGATTGGCCCAAAGAGGCAGTGATCCCTTTACCTAAGGTGGGAGGGGCATCCTGTCCTCCGCCCCTGGACCCAGAGTCCCCAAACCCTGCTTTTCAGGACCCGCAGTTCTCACTGTGACCAGCAGGGGCCGCCACAGAGTAGCTGCCTGTCTTTGACCAGAGGCTCCCACCTAAATTTTGCAGGGTACTCTGCAGAATTTCAGGTTCCAAAGGGTTCTAGGACCAGCAGTCTCTAGGAGCTTCTAAGAACACACACTGTCACCTCTCCAAGCCTTCTGTGTAACCTCAATATGGGATATAATACATCCTCCGGCCCCCTCCTCCCCTATGCCCTTGCTAACCATCATGTCCCCATGTTCAAGCTGTCCCAACAGAGTTTCACTGTTTTCAGGATCCCTGTCCCGACCCCAGTCCAGAGCCAGGAGCCCGCAGCCTGCCCGGAAGACCTGGAACTCACTCCCCCCCCCCCCCCCCCCCCGTGAACTCACTCCTGCCCCCCCTCGTGAACTCACTCCTGCCCCCCCCCGTGAACTCACTCCTGCCCCCCCCCCCCGTGAACTCACTCCTGCCCCCCCGTGAACTCACTCCTGCCCCCCCCCGTGAACTCACTCCTGCCCCCCCCGTGAACTCACTCCTGCCCCCCCCGTGAACTCATTCCTGCCCCCCCCCGTGAACTCACTCCTGCCCCCCCCGTGAACTCACTCCTGCCCCCTGTGAACTCACTCCTGCCCCCCCCCCGTGAACTCACTCCTGCCCCCTGTGAACTCACTCCCGCCCCCCCCCGTGAACTCACTCCTGCCCCCTGTGAACTCACTCCTGCCCCCCCATGAACTCACTCCTGCCCCCCCTGTGAACTCACTCCTGCCCCCCCCCCCGTGAACTCACTCCTGCCCCACCCCCGTGAACTCACTCCTGCCCCCCCCGTGAACTCACTCCTGCCCCCCCCCCCCCGTGAACTCACTCCTGCCCCACCCCCGTGAACTCACTCCTGCCCCCTGTGAACTCACTCCTGCCCCACCCCCGTGAACTCACTCCTGTCCCCCCCCCCCCGTGAACTCACTCCTGCCCCCCTCCCCGTGAACTCACTCCTGCCCCCATGAACTCACTCCTGCCCCACCCCCGTGAACTCACTCCTGCCCCACCCCCGTGAACTCACTCCTGCCCCACCCCCGTGAACTCACTCCTGCCCCCCCCCCGTGAACTCACTCCTGCCCCCCCCCGTGAACTCACTCCTGCCCCCATGAACTCACTCCTGCCCCACCCCCGTGAACTCACTCCTGCCCCACCCCCGTGAACTCACTCCTGCCCCCCCCCGTGAACTCACTCCTGCCCCCCCCGTGAACTCACTCCTGCCCCCATGAACTCACTCCTGCCCCCCCGTGAACTCACTCCTGCCCCCCCCATGAACTCACTCCTGCCCCCCCCATGAACTCACTCCTGCCCCCCCCGTGAACTCACTCCTGCCCCCCCCCCGTGAACTCACTCCTGCCCCCCCCCGTGAACTCACTCCTGCCCCCATGAACTCACTCCTGCCCCACCCCCGTGAACTCACTCCTGCCCCACCCCCGTGAACTCACTCCTGCCCCCCCCTGTGAACTCACTCCTGCCCCACCCCCGTGAACTCACTCCTACCCCACCCCCGTGAACTCACTCCTGCCCCCATGAACTCACTCCTGCCCCACCCCCGTGAACTCACTCCTGCTCCCATGAACTCACTCCTGCCCCCTGTGAACTCACTCCTGCCCCCGCCCCGTGAACTCACTCCTGCCCCCCCCCCCGTGAACTCACTCCTGCCCCCCCCCCCCCGTGAACTCACTCCTGCCCCACCCCCGTGAACTCACTCCTGCCCCCGTGAAGGATGTGGCTTCACAAACTCCCCATGGTTGCATCCCTGGGTTTCTGTGCCAGGTGCCAATCACCTTGCCGGGACCAGGAGGGATGGCCTCACAGATGCCACTCCAGTGGCGAATCCAGGTCTCTCTTCCTCGGTCTCTCAGAGCCCCTCTCCCTCCCTGGAGCCCAGGAGATGAAGTCTCCTGCATCTTGTTCTGCCCATCCTTTCCAAGACTAGAAGCCGGCTGGTTCTGACCTTGTCAGGGAGACCTCATGGGGCCCCAGATCCATGTTACTGGGAAGTCAGCATTTAGTGTGAAGCATTGCCCAGGTTGGGGTGGGAGGTCTCCTCAGAACATGTCTGTCCCAGGTTCCATCATGCTACTCATCTATTGTTTTTTGCTGTGTGACTTTGGGGCAATTGCTCACCCTCTCTGAGTCTCGTTTGACTAAAAGACTTATAAGACTGTTGTGAGTGGGTGGCAAAGTGGAACTATACAGAAGTCCGTTAAAAGTGTTCCACATGACACTGAGGGACATTACCCACAGATGTCTCCTGTTCTCTCTGACCAGGATCAGAGGGTCACCGACCACCCGAGGGCCAGCACTCTGTGCTTTGTAATCGGACCCCAGCTTACATCCCTGCCCTGGTTACGCAACTCTTACATCTGATTTGCTCTCTGGGGAGGAGACTGGGGGTCCCTGCCTGATCACTGTCCTCTTCTGGACACTCATCTTGGCTCGGGGCAATTCTCCTCACTGATCTCCCCAGAGGATCCTTGTACCCATTCCGCTGAGGCCGAGGCTCAGAAAGGGAAGGACACGTGCCTGAGGTCACACAGCAGAACTTGCAAGGAACGACTGTCTGAGCCCAGGGAGGACCAGACTGTACCCAGTGTAGGGTCCCACCAAGGGTCCTCTTGTAACCACATATCCGTCCATCCATAATTCTACTTTAAAAGACCAGGATCCCTTACCATTGAGGGTAGGCAGAGGAAGGAGATGGCCAGAAGATGGGTCAGTGGGGTGCCCCTCATGTCACCGTGTCCCTCGGGAAGCCAGCTTCAAACCTGGGAGGCAAGACCTGAGTCTTTATGTTCTATAAGGTTCTACTAGGTACAGAGAGAGAGAAAGAGAGAGAGAGAGACATAGACAGATGGACGGACAGTCACACACACACACACACACACACACACACACACACACCACCCGTAGTGCCCACTCTCCTCCCCATAGTCCCAGGAATGAGCCCAGTTACCTGAATGTGAGGCCACTGAGGCCACCAAGGAGGCGTCTGACAGTGTGTGAAGCCTAAGCCACCGCCAGTGCCAAGAGCAGAGGACAAGCCGGCAGGGGCCTCTCGGCTCAGCTCCCAGGAAGAAAGTCCTCCAGCCCAAGCCACTGCCACAGCAGCCCCAGCCTTGCCAGGGCCCCTGTCCCACCCCCAGGGGCCTGTAGAGACCAGAAGCGTCCAGCAAAGCCCCTTTGCAGATCTGACCCACGGCGTCTTGAGCCCTGTGGCCCGAACTCCGGGCAGCCCAGACCCAGCCTGCGGTTTCTGGCAGGGAGACTGGCAGTCACCCAGAGGTGGGTGTGACCCAGAGCAGAGCTTCCCTGGCAGCCTGGCTTCTCTTGACGACCAGGAGCCTCCCTATCCTGCCTCCTGGGCTTCAAAGGTGGCTTAGTGTGGCCAAGTCTGAGCAGGCTGGGCCTACTATGTGCTGCTGGCACTAGCTGGGCCCTGCTGATCTGATTAAGCTAAATCATCTTTGTTAAATCCCACCAGCACTGAGGGACTCTGTAGGGCTGGAGACACGGGCACAGACCTGGGAACTAGGTGCTGGATGTGGGAGCAGCAATGGAAACACTGAGGAGGCCCCCTTATTCAGACTAAAGCTGGGGTATAACCTTCTGAGGGAGATGCCATTTCTGAGAGCCAAGAAAGAAGCTCTGAGGTAGAGTGTTCCAGAGGAAGCAGCACGGTCAAATGCCCAGAGGAGGGAGCCAGCACAGCAGCCCGGCCTGTTCAGAGCAGAAGACGCCTGGTGCGCCTGAGGCCTCCTGAATACTGGACTGTGCGGGAATACATGGAGGATAAAACACAGGATTCACACTGCCAACTGTAGGACGTCTCCAGTGTCTTAGCTATTGGGTGCAAGGAACATTCCCTAAGGTCTCATCGATGGGTGTGGGGGTATAAGGACATGGGATCTGAAGGCCAGGGCTACAGCTCAGTTGGCAGAGTGTGTTCCAGTTACAGTGGAACATACCTGCGAGCCCAGAACACGGGGAGCTAGCCTGGACTACAAGGCAAAACCCCATCTCTTAAGAAAACAAAGAAGCGGGGAGTCCACATGCTCCCTCCTGGTCACACTCAGGCTACGCCTACCACTGTGGGTGTTAAAAGCCATCTCTAAAAAAAGAGGCCTGCCTCAGGCAGGGCCTGCAGAAGTGGTGTGGCCAGTGTGGGCACCTGCTGTTTGTAGCTCTCTGCTGGCCCTTCTCATGCTTACTGGGCCTAAGCTATGTCACATGAAGGCGGGACACTAGGCGACTGGAAAGGTAAATCACAGTCATTTGGTTAGGTAGTGGGGGCAGAGGAATTGGGGATGGGCACAGGCCCGGAATGAGGCAGACAAGGACTGAGAAGCAGCTGGACTTCGTGGCTGGGCATGCTGAAGTGTGCAATCAACCCTGAGCCAAGCTTGACACCCTGCCTTGGTGGCCCATTTGCTTTGTGGCTGCATGGAAATTCCATACCCTCTTTGGGCCTCAGACGGACCTGCATGATGCCCATGCCAATAACCATCTTTATTTTCTGTCACCATCACTATGACCTGAGTTTGTTTGAGACAGAGATATGCCCAGCTTGGCAGCTAGGCAAGGCTGTGTGGCTAGCTTCCTGCTGTGAGATCTGTGTACAGCACTAGGTGCAAATTCTGGGACCAGTCCCTAAAAGGAAGGACGTTCTCTGACTCATCAGCACTCTTTCTTCCTCTTGCTTCTGGTCAAAGATGCAGCAGTGGAACTCGGCAGCCACCTTGGGCCATGACGGTACTTTGAAGATGGATCTCATGTACAGGGGAGATGAAATAAAACTTTAAAAGAGGAGACTGGAGCCAGGCACGGAGAAGCACACATGCCACCCTAGCACTTACAAGGCTGAGGCAGGGGGATAGCGAGTTTAAGGTTAACTTGGGTTACATAGAAAGACCCGGGCCCTAGAGCTACATACATGTCCTGGGTGCACCTTACTGATTTAATTTACACAGTTAAGGGGGTAATGATATGTGTGTATATATAAAATATATGTAACACATATAATATATATGATTATATGTCACCACTGTTTTTAATATTTATATAGTCCCCATAGACCCTCCTGTTTGAGCTGACAGGAGTTTGAGTTAGTCACTGCTGATGTAAAAAAAAAAATAGCAATTTTATTGTTGTTATTATCACTGCTGGTGACCATGAACCTGGAAGCTTTGCTAAGTCCCATTTAATGTTCTGTCTGTTGGTTTGTCTAGCCTTGTCTCCCTCCAGGAATGGCATCTCTTCCGTTCTCTCCCTACATGCCTGGCTGTCTGCCACAGGCCTCAGACCCCAGCAGCAGTATCTGCTGCTCCCGCCTTTCCCTGGCCCTCCAGGACATAGATGCAGCTTTGGAGGATGAAAAGCTTCATGAGATGAAGGTAATTCTTTTCCATGAAGACGGTGGACCCTGTCCAAGAGCTGTGTCTGCTCCCCGCTTCATGAACACTGGGGCTGTTTTTTCCCCCTTGATCCTCCGAGGCAGATACGCTGGCCAGCTCTCTACTGTTGCTGTTTTCTCTGGGATAAACTTCCTGATAGTGGGGGAATGTGGTGATTTTTCTGGATCCAGCCAGTGTTTTATTTAATGTCTCCATCTGTCCTCATATGAAACGGGCCTGTAACATTCCTTGATGGTTGGTCTCGCTTTTGTAACGCTGGTCACTTATCAAATAGCTCTTTTGGCAGCTTCCCCGCCCCTTCCCAGCTCCCCTTGCAACCTGAGCAACAGAAGAATTGTTTCCTGCACTTCAGGACAGCCTCCCCGCTAGACCCCCTGGGGCTGATGATTTGAGGCTGGTTGGGAGAGTCTTTTGACATCTCAGTGTTTCTGTGTTGCTGTGCTTGAGGGTGGATGTGTGCCTCACTGGACACAGAGGACAATGTTGTGTTTCCTCCTCTGTGACACTGCAGCCCATTTTTTGAGGCAGGGTCTCTCTGAACCTGCAGTCATTAATTTGATGAGGCTGGTTGCCCACTGAGCCCTTGGGATCCTCCTGCCTCTGCCTTCCCGTGCTGGCGTTAGGTGCGTACTGCCTGACTCTGCTGTTCTTTATGAGTTTGGGGGATTCAGGCTCAGGTCCTCAGGCTTTCATACACTGCCCACTGAGTCATCCCTGCAGGCCCCTTCCTAAGAAGTGCTCAATTCCCCAGCCTTTAGCTTATCAGATGTGTAATTGTATCACTGGCTCACAGTGGCCTTTAAATTACCTAACCTTTAGGTCCAGGGGACTGCCACCATTTTGCTGTGTGTTTTGTTTTACTTGGTGGGTGCACGCTAGGGATGGAATCCAGGACCTTGTGAAATCCGGGGAAGTGCTGTGCCCCTGAGACACATCCCAGCCCTTTCTCTAGATTCTGGTCAGCCGGCTCAGCGTGTGTCTGCTCTTAATTTTGTCTTGTTTTGTTGAACTCTTTTGATCTCTAGCTGGTTGATTTGTTCATGGAATCTCCTGTTGCACACAGCCACCCTCTGTTCAGCCCTTCGATGCTGACCCATTCTGCATCTTTAGCAACATCATGTGCATCATAAAAGAGACATGGGCTCCGACCCCCAAACTGGAGGCTCTATCTTCACAATGGATGTTTCCCCTTCACCACACACACACACACACACACACACACACACACACACACACATCACCCTGCCTCCGCTGTGACAGGAGGGACAGGTTGGGGGAATGACTGCCTGCTTGGCTGACTGCAAACATCCAGCCCGCGAGGCCCCTCTGTGGCTTCTCCTTCCACGTGTTTTGCTGGCTGGACAGGAATTCAGATGTCTGCTCCTGGCCCTGAGGTCCCAGGTGCCGTGTGACAGGTCCCCAGAGACAGCTGCAGACTTGGACAGTTTACCACTTGGCTGAAGTCTGAGCTGGCAAGGAGCGTGTGGGAAATGACATGCTCCCTCAGAGGGCTGGAATGTGGTGATCTTAGCGCACACATATGACCGTCATAGCGTGTGGATGTAAGCCAGTGTGAGCTGGGGGTTTCAGCGCGAGGGGATGGCATCGGATAGTGCCAAGTGTGCAGCTGCTGGCGAGCTGAGGGTTATGATGGCACATGGCAGGGCTTTGGGAATTGGTATGAGGGCTTATTCTCAGGCCAGCATGCCAGGGAAAGCCACAGATCCCAGCATGTGTAGGTGTCTGGATGAATCAGGGACCTGAAGAAGCCAGGCTTCAAGCCAAGCTCCAATCCTGGCCCAATGGCTGTGCACCTTTGAGCAAATTCTCTGTTTTGTTTGGCTTTAGTTTCCTTATCTGTAAAATGAATGAAAATTAATTATTTTCCAGGCCTCCCTGGTCCCAGAGGTCTATGTTTTATATCCCTGGAAATCACTTATTTCCAGAGGCAGTCCTGACCAGGAGATAGGTTTGGAGGGAAAGCCTCAGCAATGCAGAGACCCACAGTGTAACTCAGAATTCGAGGTACTCCACTGAGTTAGGACTAGTTGATTGGGCACCACGTCAGGGAGCAATAAGAAGCTAGATTATCTCTACCCCATCTGAGAGCCCCTGTCTTGGTTAGAAGACCCCCATTCCAAGAACCCACTTCTCCCTAGGGGTCCCTATAGTGACACTCTCTGTCTTAGACACCTGTCCATCTTTCCATCAATCATCTGTCCATCCTTCCACTCATGTCTGTGTACCTGACCCACCTGTCCATCTGTTTGTACACTCATCCATCCACCAACCCGTCCATCTGTCTATCCATCCATCTTCCATGTATTCATTCTACAAGCCCAGGTTGTATATGCCATGCATTGGTCTCAAAAGCACATCCCTGTCCAGAGTAAGCTCAAGGGGTCTGGGGACCGAGGCCAGTAGAGACAATCTCCACAAGGTAAGTAGAGGATGGGGGGGGGGGGGAGGCCTAAGCCAGGGTATGACACTGAATTTGGAAGCAACTGTGGGTGCCAATCGGGTGATTTGAGCAGGGGCAGGAGGGAGTAGAAGCCTGGAGGTGGTAGAATTGAGTCTGGATTAGGTCCTGATGGGGGGCAGGGGCTCAGCGGAGCTGCAGCTGGGCAGGCCAGTGTCAACCAGGGAGCTGGGATAGGGATGATACCAAAGCCTTGGGCACACTGCAGGGCTGCTTGGAGAGGCAGGAATCAGAACCCCACTCCCATACCTGACAGAGTGACGTCGGGCAACTCTACGAGGCCTAGTCCCCAACGATGACATCA